GACCAGGATTGAGACCAGGATTGAGACCAGGATTGAGACCAGGATTGAGACCAGGATTGAGACCAGGATTGAGACCGGGACCAGACCAGGAGTGAGACCGGGACCAGACCAGGAGTGAGACCGGGACCAGACCGGGTCCAGGACAAGGACTGAGACTGAAACTGAGACTGTAACTGAGGCCAGAACCGAGACCGGGAGTGAGACCAGGACATAGACCGAGACCAGACCAGGACTGAGACCAGGATTGAAACAGGGATCAGACCAGAAGTGAGACCGGGTCTGAAACAGGAACCAGACCAGGACTGAGACCGGGACTGAGACCAGGAGTGAGACTGATTTAGTCCTGGTTCAGTCCTGGTTCAGTCCTGGTTCAGTCCTGGTTCAGTCCTGGTTCAGTCCTGGTCTCTTGGAATCATTATCTGTTTTTTCATTTTGGTTTTGGAGACAAATCTTTTTTTTTTTCTTCTTATTTTTGGTTTTATTTTGAAAAAACAAATGATACACAAATTGTATTGATCACAGGCTCCTGAAAATGTGCTGTTTTTGCCTCAGTTTTCATCTTAGTATCAATAGGGAAAAAAAAAAAAAAAAAGTGGTTGGCTATAGTTTGTAGATGAAGGCCTAACAAAAAAATAAACGAGAGCTACAACATTTATGGGTAAAAAAATTAGACAAATACTGTGATTTTTGTTTTTAAATCTGAATTCAGTTGACAGTACACATTTTAACACTTCCAGGAGCAAGAACATTTGAGAGAAAACTGAAATATGAACTGCTAAACGAGTCCCATGAGTTTCATAATGGGTCTGCAGAGATATGAATATGAGATTAGCACATTTTATTCCATTAAAACTTGGAATTGACAAATGTGTTAATTTAAAGTGTGATTTTGATTTGTTTGGATCTTACTAGCTAGTAGTGTTGTCACAATACAACTATTTCAAACTCTTTTGTTATTAATGGTCCTATATTATGCAAAATTGACTCTAGTGAGCTTTAAACCATCTTATGTTGTCTCAAAAACAGACCTGGAGTTGTGTTTTGTTTTATTAACACTTTACTATTACTCTGTCTATATCTCCAAAACTCAAAATGCTTTGTTCCATCTTGTGATGTCATGAAGTGGTAATTTTCAAGTTAAGAGCTCCAGCACAGAGGAGTAGCAAAGGCAGACGGCTCCTCTCACTCCAGTGTAGGAATGAACGGTCCTTTGACCCCACAGACAGCAGGCTCTATAACCTGTCATAGTCCAGCCTGTCACCCTGCAGAACTAGCACTTCATGCACACGAACTTTAAATGTCTTGCACAAACTTTTAATGACTATTTATTGACCCCAAGACATTCCCAGGCCAGCTGAGAGACATAGTCCCTCCAGCATGTCCTGGGTCTTCCCCAGGGTCTCCTTCCAGTGGGACATGCCCGGAACACCTCCCGAGAAAGGCGCCCAGGAGGCATTCGGAAGAGATGCCCGCGCCACCTCAACCGGCTCTTCTCGATGTAGAGGAGCAGCAGCTCTACTCCAAGCTCCTCCCGTGTGACCGAGCTCCTCACCCTATCTCTAAGAGAGCGCTCGGCCACCCTGCAGAGGAAACTCATTTCGACCGCTTGTATCCGTGATCTTTTCCTATCTATATCTATCTACCTACCTTTTATATTTGTTCTGAAGAGACTGGCAGGGTGTATGGAGTTTAGAAAACACAGTAGAGCATGTTCCTGTATTACCACATGACATCACAAGGTGGAACAGAGTGTTTTCAGAGAAGAACTCAGCCTAAATATGCATGGTTAGTGAGTTAAACGTGTGATATGAAACATAACAACTGAAGGTCTGTTTGTGATGAGGAAACAACTTTATAATCGGAAAATAATGTAATATGGGGCCTTTAAGGAACAGACTCTATACTGATTATGATACCACAATAATAATAACAAACACTCTTTCTTTAGACAAAATGGTCGTACTTTCTTTTCTATTCCTATATGGTCTTATATCTGTGTAATCCCTCAGTGGTACAGGACTTTTTTTAGTATCGATACTTGCCCAAATGAGTAGTTTCGATATTAGTATCAGTAATGATTAATATCTGATCTTTGATACTTTTGACAACTTTTCAAGACAGCATAGCATAGCATTTTGACCTTTATGAATCACAACGTGGTGAGAAAAATTATTAAAAGTGAACAAAACCACATGTAAAATGATTAGTATTTGTATGAGAGACTGGGTTTTATGAGTTTTCACACGCAATTTGAATGGAGCTTCAGCAATGTACACAACTCCCATCTGTGCAACAGACAATGGCAAAAATGAAAAGTCCCTGCAGAAAGACAAACATTCACAAACAAACAGCTTTGATTCCAGTCAAATGAGTTCCCATCACAGGAGAATGAATGCAATGTGTGGCACTGCAGTTCAAAGCGGAGGACACAAAAACTGTTCATGTGATGGGAGTTTGCTGAAAAGTGCGTAGCTAGAGGCACAAAGGCAGAGCAAGCGTGTAACGTGAGCGCACCACACCCGCGAGCCAAGGCAGGTGACTTTATTGTTGAGAAGAATCAGAGCCAAAAACAAGAGGAGAGAGACAGACACTATACTGGTCATGTATTTAAAAGTCATATTACCTTATTTTCGGACTGTAAGTCACACTTTTTTCATGGTGTGGTGTTTCCTGCGACTTATACTTCGGTGTGACTTATATATTAAAATTTTCACACTGAAACGTGGAGAGGCTATAGTCTTGTGTGTCAGTATCTGCTGCTCCTGTTACTCCTGTACCACTGTCACTTGGCTCTACTGCGCATGTCTTCTGCAAAAAGAGCCACTGTCCAGCTGCAAGTAGTGAAATATTCAGCCAAAAACAGCAATTGAGCAACAGAAAGAAAGTTTGGAGTGAGCGAGAAACTTGTGAGGGACTGGTAGAAAGTGGGGATGGAGAACAGCTTCATGGCAACCGGGAGAGTGCACCATGCAACTTTCCTGGAAGACACTGGATGGATCAACAAAGCCTAAGTCCAGGCATTGTTGATCGACTGAAACCATCCTCCATTCAGAAAGGCTGGAATAATTCTAACTGGAACCGATGTGGAGTCTGACGACAGCTACGCAGAAGAGGAAGCAGCGCTCTGTTTACCTCTGGAGGTTGCTGAGTTGTTCAGAAGAAGAATGGATTTAGTGATTTGGAGTGAGATGGAGAGTTTGGTAAACTTGTTCTGTTCTGTCGTTTATGTTATATTTATCTGAAGAACTGTTCATATGTGACGTTAACAGTCTGTTGTTCTCTGTTCTGTTGTTTTTACTAGAACTTGACTTTCAAGATGAAATGTTGGTTCCCGGTCTCTGATTTTTTTAAATAAATTCCCCACAAAAGTGCAACTTATATATGTTCTTTTCTTCTTCATTACGCATTTTTGGCTGGTGACTTATACTCCCAAAAATATGGTAGTTAAAATTGACTCTTATGAGTTTCTCAATGATACAAAACACAATTCCAGGTCTGTTTGTGATGAGGAAACAACATTATAACATAGATCAGATAATAGAGTAATATGGGCCCTTAAAAGATGGGGTCTTGTTTTGATAATAATCTCCCTACCAAAAATATCTTGTGAAAATGTATTCACTTTAAAAACATAAGTGTTTTTAAAACAGGCCTGAGAAATGCGGTTACCTAAATGTCTGTGAATGAAATACACACTATGCCAAGTATGTTTTTCTGGTGTACAAAGGTTAAAATAAATCTGATGTCCTTGGCAATCATATCCTATCTCTAAAGTTGATGTTGTCAGGCATTAAAACATCTTGCTCCTCATATGTTTTGACCTGATCCTGTTTTTTTTTTATAGTTGTGCCAAAGCTTCATGCTCCATCTTTGATCTCCTCTGCTCCTGTTTCCCATTCTCTACCTCTGCTGCTTTCAATTACTCCTTCATTTCTTATATCGTTCTCTTACTCAGTCGTAAAACTATGACCAAAATATTATATTAAGTCAATGTCATATTTGCTGACTAAAATAACTACATAAAAATAATCATAATGGCTACAACTATGACTAAACTTACATACATTTTAATCGAGTAAAAGTCCTGAATCAATCTGGTCATCACTCCTTCTGTCGCAGCTCGAGCCAGACACAAACGTCCAATCAAATGTGTTTATTTCAATGACACATGTGAAACAAATGAGCTCACTGGTCAAAACAAAATCTCATTTCTCTCACCTCAAATTAGCAGAGTTTAGTGCTTCGCTCACTCATTCTGATGAAATCTGCAATGTCTTTCATTAATTTTTTTGTCTTTTTTTTTCATTGTAAGCAGCCATGTTTGTTTGATATAGATGATGCATGTCCCTGATTGGCTAATCCACCTGTCAATCATGCCCATCTGACCTCAAAGAGCATGTTAGTGCATTTTATTGCATTAACGGCATTAATAATCAATTGTGATCAAATATTTTGATGCAGATCACGTGTATCAGTCAAAAACAAAGACTGTTGATTTGAAAAACAGTTACGACTTCAAAAAGTTAAAGCATGTGAGTAATTGTGATTTAAGCATGTAATCACGGTCCAGCTCTAAGATTTTTTTGTTTACTTGTTCACGTTTATATGATGACTGTCTGAAGAGAAACGTAAAAGTGACATTGTGACTTCACTTTCTATTCCGCGTTTAGACAAGCTTTTTTGGGAGGAAATCTGCATGTATACGGTGACGCAAAAGTGTGTGGAATTCGTTTGGGTATGCATGCCAGGTTTCTGTGTACTGTATGTATGTGACAAACGCATACGCGACGTGACCAGAGTTTTGTGTCTTGGACAGTGTAGACGGAAACACTACAGCAGAGCGTATTCAACTTTTCCACTCTGGAGGGTGGTTTCAGATTTTTGCGTTTTTAAGCCCCAAAAACGCTGTCACCGTCTAAAAGAAAGGCACTTGAGATAAAATATTTTGTCGTTTTTACCTGTGTTCTCGTGTAAACAGGCCCTAAATCCAAAAGTCTTACCTCTACAATACTCTGCAGGTCCCGCACATACGTCCTCTCCGTGTCCAGAATCTCCTGCACCACCCTGTCCACGTACGTCCTCTGTCCCTGTCCCCCTGTCCCGTTCGTGGACACCTCCTTCATCTCTGTCGCAGTTGTCGTCTGTGGGTTACTCTGTCTCCTTTGCCCCGTTTTGGACTCCACATCGCTCTCGTCCTCCAGCTGTTTGGTCGGAACCAGCTCCAACCTTATCGCCCCAGAATCTCTGTCCGACATCGGGGCGGAGACTAGTGTGGAGCGGCTGCCCAGCGAGCAGTGGCTGTCCCGGGACGACGCTGAAGACGAGGTGGAGGTGTAGCTGACGGGCCGGTCGGTAGCGTCCAGGGCGGAGTCCATGCTGTGGGAGGAACTGTAGCGGGAGGGGGCCTGGCGGTAGGAGGGGCTACGCAGGCACCGTGAGCTCAGGTCCGACACGGAGTCCGGCACTTCAGGCAGAGGCGGCAGCACATCGGGGAGGTAGGTGTAGTCGTCTGAAAAAAAAAGAGGGAAGACGAAATAAGGAAATGTCAAGTTGCTAAAATTTCAGATTTCAATGTCACAGTTAGTCCCATTGACAGGACAGAAATGAACCTCGCCTGAATAGTTTTAGAATGAGCTGTATCAGAACAAGTATAAGAGCACAGAGACTATTATACACCCATGGACCACTTGGGATTACACAGATATAAGAAAACATGGTATAAGGAAAAGTAAGTAAAGGAGAGGAGAGCTCTGCAGCGCATAGTGAACACAGCCAGGAAGATCATTTGGTGCACCACTCCCCTCCTGCAATACAAATACACCACCCGTCTCACCCACAAAGACATCACAATTGTGAGTGATGCAAGTGGCACCGCACACAATCTTTTCAGCCTCCTGCTCTCAGAGAAAAGGTACAGGAGCCTCTGTTCCTGCACCACTAGACTCATATCCACCAGCTTCATCCACCAGGCTGTTAGGATGCTGAACTCTCTCCCCTCTTTATCCACCAGGCGCCCAAGAAACAGGAATCTGTTTATCCCCAAAGATGAACACTTGAACTTTTCCATTTAGTATTATTATTATTTATTTAGAAGATTGGGAGTGAGAAACATGATTTCAATTCTTCATGTGTTTCATGTGAAAATTTATAATAAACTTCTTGAATTTGAAGAAGAAAGTACTATATACTAAGGTGCTTGAGGAAAAAAAATATCACAACCTTTGTGATTTGCAGCAATAGAATGTTGATATGTAAAAAAAAAAATATGTAAAAAAAATTGCAGTACTTAACAGCCATAGTGCATATAGGCAGAGATGGTAGAGTAGCCAAAAATGATATTCAAGTGAGAGCAATGTTACTTCAAAATAATATTACTAAAGTAGAAGTACAAAGTAGTGGAAGGAGAAAGAAATTAAACAAATCTACAACTCAAGAAAGAGTTGAAGATTAAAACATTAAAAGAGTTCATGTAATTGTTTAGAAAGACAAAATCCATTTTTTTTTTTTTTTGTTCAAAGTATAGGCACAAAAATGAAAACTACTACATTATACGTGAAGGAGCGATGCAAGAAACACAAATGTTCAAATCATTTCATATTGTCAACAAAAAGCTTTTGTCACTTGTAGATTTACTCACAGTGGGAAAAGGAAGCACAACTTTTACTCACACAATAGTACTGTTAATATTTAATTGAAGTATTACACAAGAAGGACTTAAAGTATGCTGGTAGAAAAGTTTGAAAAACACAATTTCTTAAAAAAGTGACTCCAGTAATTATAATTAAAGGTAAAAGTACAGTCCGCCTTCATCTGTCCAGCTGTTTAAATACATTACTCACAGACTTAAATACAGACTTAACTCATTCAAATGTATGCACCAAACGGCAGCACTTTCCACTCTCTGCGCTGGGCTAAAAGGGCCCACTGTGGACCCCGGGTACTCTCACAATCCACACTCTGAGATTCCACAGCCTTGGCCTCTAAGCAGTATTTGGCAACGCAATTCCCAGCATTCCCAGCGACCGCAGGCTAATAGGGCAACAACTGTCCAAGTACTTTGGAAATACTGCAAGTGGAAGTAAAAAGTACAAGCTGGTTAGTGCTACTACAGCTACACCACCATTTTAGTGTCAAAGCCAACTCATGCTGACTGATTTATAACTACACTGCCACTACTAATACATACTATTACTAATACTTACTATCAGTACCTACTATTACAACTACAATCTGAAATACACCTACTACTAATACTGAAATAACTTAGAACTACTTTAACCTACCACTACTAGTATAACTGTTTCCTATTACTCTCTGCTACTCTACTACAAACTCCTATTATTAGAGTCAAGACCGCAGTAATGGAGACCAAGACCAGTTCGAGACCACAGGATCCCGAGACCAGGACAAGATCGAGACAAGACCAATTCCACGGCCCACTTGAGATCAACTCAAGACCATCTTTGTCATTTTCTACATTTATTTATATTTTACAGTTATTTTGGCACATATACTGTATATCAATGCTTTCTATGAATCTATCTCCGTTTGATCTGGTTAATGTTCATTTAGGCTTAAAATAAGCCAAGCAAACTGTACTGCACTTAAATACTTAAACATGCCCCATTTTTGGACCCGGACCAACAGTTTGAGAACCACTTCTTTAATCCCGCTTTCACTGGCACTTTAAAGAAAACAACTTTGAAGTTAAACAGTGGAGTTATTTCAGGTTCATAACATTTACAGTTGCATTATCTTACTGGTTTTGCAGTGATATTGAGCAGCCTCTGCACATTTACCAGCCGGAATGAAATATGATCACACTTGTCGAGTGTCAGACCTCAAGTCCGAGACAAGACCGAGACCGAGCGCCATCAAGACCGAGAAAAGACTGAGTCCAAAAGCGCTCGACTCCGAGATGAGTCCAAGACTGTAAAAAAGCGATCTCAAGGCCAGTCTAAAGGCCAGTCTCGAGTACTATGAAACTACTAACTACCATCAACTACTACCAACTACTACTAATATTAACACTATTAGTACTTACAAGTTCTACCTACTATTAGTACTATAACCTCAGCTACTATACAAACATAACATCTACTGGAAAAGTCCAATGAAATTCATTTGATCTTCCGATATTTTATGTTATTATTATGTGAGCAGTCGAAACTGTCAGGTATGAAACTGAACTCTAGGTCTGAAAAAAGAACCTAATAACATAAACTACTGGATAATATTTCATCATTACTACTACTACTACTATCTGTGCAAAAACTACCTCTACTGTTACCTTATTTCTATTTTTAATTCTACTTTTACTTGTATATTTTTTTTTAGATAAATGAACAAAACCTCTTTACTTATCCTTGTGATGTTTTACATGACTACCATTACTACCACTACTACTAATACTATCACCTACCACTACTTGCTACCTCCTAACTACTTCTCTTACTAACAACAATAACTACAGCCATCTCAACTACTAAGTATTGCCTACTAACTAGTACTATATCTACTGCTAACACTACAACTACTAATACTACTAACAACCTCCTCCACCCACTGACATAAATTACACCCAAAAAAAACTACTTTTCAGAATGTCTCTGAAGTAACTTGAATAAGTCCCATTTACTCGTCCCTGTGATGTTTTCCAAAGCATTACTCGCAAACAGCCTGAGCTAACAGGATTACGTCTCTTCTCGAGTGCTGGACGCCCTGGTGAATGAGGACGCTATTTCCCCGGTTGTGTGGAGTGAAGCACGTCCCTGTGGTGGATGTATACAGACAGGACAGGAGGCTCTTTGGCTCTTTGGCTCCGGGCTGGTGCCAAACCTCATGTCCACAGAGAGAGAGATCCGTTAGAAAGCATAGGGCCAGCTGGCAAAAGAGAGGAACACACACAGAGAGGGACAGTAGAGAACTAACAGAGACGGTGTGACATGGCTTTCATGGTTTAATGAAAGTTATTTTCATTAAGAACTCAGTTGAAAGAAGGGATCCAACTTTCTAATCATACTAAAGTTCTGCAGTAAACAAAACATGGGTCGCATTGTCTTGTCTAATTTGGCAACAATTGTTACTAAAAGACAATTAAAGCAAAGAAAGACATACAAGGTCATGCATCTATGAACACATTACCATGATATCCATCTCCAAAAACACATTTTAATATTCTGATACAAAAAAAAAACAACAATGTTCAGCCAAAAAAACTTGCCATTGTTTTGACTCTGGGCTAAACACCTCAGCTGGTCTGTTTTATCCTGGTTTCCTGTGGTGGTTTTTGACAAAAACAACCGCTTTTAGACATAAAACTGTATATGGACATAGCTAGTCTAGCCCAAGTCGTTGCGTTCCAAACAGGAAGTAACCTTGGGCACGCTATCGGCTCCATTGACTCCACCTCCAATTCACTTTCTAATGAGAAACTGTCACCCCTCTCTCTGAAACTGCTGCAGTGAGCCTCATTATTTTAGTCTTAAAATGTTCGTATTAACCTGCTCTACGTGATCATGGTGTTTTTATTTCACTATTTTATCCATAAACATATTCCTATTTAATATGAAAGTGGCCAAAATCACTGCTATAGCTGCTAGTCTCCTGAGCTTCATGCAGTCTATGCTTCCACATTCTTTAATAATTAAGTTCATTACAATTTACTCAATTTAGTATCCCTTATTTTTCATGCTTTGGGTGGTCCTTATACTCCGGTGCAATTTTTTCCAGTATCTGCTGCTCCTGTTACTCCTGTATCACTGTCACTTAGCTCTACTGCGCATGTCTCCTGCAGAAAGAGCCTATGACCTGTCTGTATTGTATCTGTCGATCGCACCATTAAGTCTGTACTACTGAAACTTATAAAAACAACTGAGAAGACTGAACACAAATGCCCCCAAAAAGAAAATCATATTTTGCAGATTACAAGCTGCAAGTAGCAAAATATTCAGCCAAAAATGGTAATCAAGCAGCAGAAAGAAAGGTTGGAGAAGTTTGTGAAACCGGGAGAGTGCACCATGCAACTTTCCTGGAAGTCATTGGATGGATCGATAAAACCTGGACCATCCTGTTGGGATTCAGAAAGGCCGGAATAATTCTAACTGGAACTGACGCCGAGTCTGATGACAGCTACGCAGAAGAGTAAGTTTACCTCCAGAGGCCGCGCAGTTGCTCAGAAATGACACATGGTTTATGGTTTATAGGCGTCTAATCATCTCATTTAAGGCTCACTGTGGCTCTTAAATATACTCAATTTCTGGTGACCGCTAAAACTAGTAGCTCTCTGGCATTTTCTTCTTGTAAAGGAGCTCACTGGAGGAAAAAGGTTGGAGACCCGTGCTTTAAACATAACCATCTTGTATCCAATTCCATGTCCGATTTCCATAACAAAGCTGAGTATGTGAGAGGGGAAAACCGAGTCGATTCCACCAGCAGTCAGAGTTCACCATCAAAGCGAGCGGAGTGGTACTGGCCCCGAGCTGGCGTGTTGTGAAAACAGTCAGATGC